CTCACTTAAGAACCGTGTGACTCACTTAAGAACCGCAGTGATTTGCTGAATCAAATGGTTTAGGTTTATTAGATTTATATGCCGCCCTTCTCCCAAGGACTTGTACAACATTAAAAGAAACACATAATACAAAAGTTTTAAAAAGTGGTGAGAAAAATCATAAAATGGGGCAAAACTCAACAAACCTCTCACTTAGCAGCATAAGTGTTGGGGTCAATTATGGCCGTAAGTTGAGGACTACCTGTACACTTTCTGCTTTCACTGCTGGGTCTCTTGTGAAGATGCCTCCCTACACACACACACACACACACACACACACACACACACACACACACACAGCCCCCCCCCCCTGTCAACCAGGGCCAGGAAAGGCCATTCTGGGAGGTCAGGGGAAACCGGGGGATTCTTCCAGGGACGGGAGAGCAGTTACAGAGACCCCAGACCCCTCCTCTCCCCCCTCCCCTTCAAAACCTGCTCCACCCCCCCTCCTGCCAGGCCTCGCCAGCCTCTTCCGAAGCCTCATTTTGCATCTGCAAAAGTCCCAGCCGGACAGTCCGTGGCTGTTCCTGAATTCCTGGCAGGCGGCTGTTTATCCTGGAGCCCACAGCCGAGTCCTGCCCAGGAAGAGAAGAAGCCGGCCAGTGTCGCCACCTGGATGACCACGAGGCCAAGAAAGGAGCTGCGGACGTCCAGCTGCAAGGAGACAGGCCTGGCCTTTGTTGGTGGACGATCCCCAGCACATGGCTCCCCCCCCCCCCGCACACGCACACACACACATCTGCAGAGGACAGGCAGGGCTTCCCACAGCTGCATGGAGACAAAACCTTTGGCCCTCCCCCCTTTTGGCTGGCGGCTGCCCCTCCCAAGGGGGAAGGGAGGGAGGAGGATGCAGGGTCCCCGGATTCAGCCCCAGAAGAGGGCTGGGACCCAAAGGCAGCTGTCCGGTCCTGGAGGCTCTGGGAGACCCTGGCCTGGCACCCAGGAATGGGCTCTCCAGCCGCTGCCAGTCCCCTCCGTCCATTGCCAGGCAAAGACTCTGGATTTCCCACCCACTTCAGTCCCAAAGCAGGAGAAGGAGAAGAAGCGACGGATGGAAACTAATCAAGGAGGGAAGCAACCTGGAACTAAGGGGGGGTTTCCTGGCAGTCAGAAGAGGTCAACCCCCTCCTCTTTGTGGCAGCCCCTCGGATATAAAAGCAGCAGAAGATGCCCTGAAGCTGAGGGAGAGGGGGGGCCTGCACGGCTCCCCTCCCACCCCCCCACCCTCTGCACAACAACACAACAGGCCCAGCTGGGAATCCTCTCCTGCACCCGAATCCTTTGATCAACCTGCTTCAGTGGCCCAGGCGCCAGGAATGAACCCAGAATCACTGCAGGGCACGAAGACGGAGCCCAGCTTCAAAGCAGCAGAGGAGG